CACCCATACCCTCCCACACCCACACCCACCCACACCCACACCCACACCCACCCACACCCACACCCCACACCCACACCCTAAAATTTTAATCATAAGTTCTATTTTCTTTATTCATATAAAATAATTAGAATATATAAAGGGTCGTTGAAAAGTTTTGACTCCTTCCAGTAAATCGGTAATATCTATGACAGAGCCTATATGCGGTTAATTGATCGAAATATGTATTTTTGGAAGAAAGATTAGAGCTATCATTTGAAAAAAGATACTTCGAAATGCATAAATGCAGTACAATCTTATGGTGACATTACTGATTTTGAGTAAACGTTATCATCTTACACTTTTTGAGAAAAATTTAAAAAACAAGATTCTTAATAAAATGTATAGATGATTTATGAGTTTATCAGATTGACATTATGTAATAATATTAATAATCACATTTTATCATACATTGACCTCGCTTTCGCTTGGTTACTTTTGATTTTTTTTGAAGAACTATCAATCACTTTCTCACATTTTTCTACAGTAAAATTTTTCCATAGATCAAGAATTTTTCGTTTCATATAGTGTAATAAATTAAATTCATATTGACTTAAATCTTGTCGAATGTCATTCCACAAATTATCTATTGACTTGTATAATGAACACTGAATTTTTTCCATAAAACTCGAAAAGATAAATCTAAGCATTTGACATATGAGACGATAAACTGGAAAAGGTAAACTTCATAACATAAGACTGTTATTCCATTAAAATGAGAAATCTAATAAAAATCACCTGTGAAAAAAATAACATACAACTATTATAAAGTTTTTTTAAAAACTTTTCTAAAAAAAATTTCAGATGAAAATATTCACCCAAGATTAGTAAACTGACCATAAAACTGTATTACATTTATGCATTTCGAAATATCTTTTTTCAGATGATAATTCTAATCTTCCTCTATAAAAATACGTATTTTGATCAATTAACCATATATAGGTTTGTCATAGATATCACAAATTTACTGAGAAGGTTGAAAACTTTTCGATTACCCTTTATTATTATTTATTAATATCAATAAATGAAAAAAAATCATGATTAAATATTAGAAAATAGAGACATGGTTAAATACGTTAATAATAATCATTGGTAGGACAATCTAATAATTAAATTAATTGATATGATGATTATACCAAGTATTGTGCCGATAATATTCCACTTTAGAGCTTGCTTTGAAGCCTTCAATGCACCTTGAATATCGTTTTGTTCTTTTAAATCTTGAGTCTTATTCGCATAGAAACAAGCCAGGCATCCAAGACATAAACAGCAGCAAAATATATTAAAAAAAGACCAAACTATATGAGTTTTTATCTGGTCTACAGATTGAGTTGGAGTTGATCGCGTGTTGACGAACGCTTGTGTACATTCACTATTGTCTCTCGACCCTAGTTGAGATTGATAATACACTTTAGAAGTGTTTGTGTTGTTTAACCTTGGTTCATAAGTAGGTGGCTCCGTAGAAACAACATTTTCTGCAGTTTGCTCTTTTGATTGAACATTGGTAACCGAGTTCGATGCAGATAATTCGTTAACAGTATTTGCCATTGTCTATGAAACAATAAATAGAATTTTGTTATCAAACTAATATCCATGGAATGATGCATTTCCTTTTTATATATTGATCAAACAAGAGAGAGACAAAGGGATAAGAAAAGTGTAAATTTCCTACTATTTTTAGATTATAGGGAGTGATTATTATGTTTCTTCATCGAGAAAGTAGTTTAAATGTCGAAAATTATGAATTCTTGAAAATCCTTAGAAAAAAAATTTTTCTAAATTTTGATCTATAAAATATAATATGGAATGAATATGCAACATTCAGTGTGATGGTAAAACCTATGACTAAAAAGGACATGGATTTTTAATATTTATACAACAAATCAGAGAGATGAAAAGGGAAAAAAACAATAACAAACATGCAAATAAAAGACTACAATTAACTATTTCTAAATATAGCATGGCCGCTGCCAATGACATTTATTCATCTGCACAACGAGAAAAAATTTCATGAATAGGTTTAACAAAGAAAATTGGATCTTTGTATAATGCGAGTGTGGATGTACCTGAAGAAGACTCTTGCACCCTAGTAGAAAATGATCTACGTGGAATTTTTGGCTCAATTATCAACATCTTCAATATATCAAATGGTAGTATGTATCCGACATTAAAATAACATTGATGCTGAAGAAAAAATTGACATCTACATGGAAATCTTATGAGCTAATCCAAAAACAATGACAATGGTATGTTAATGTTGGTAGAGAAAATTTACAAGAATTTGAAAGAAGTCTATTGAGATTATATTACGTTATCCCAAGTAGGGACACTTAGATTTGTCGTCGCAAGATCGAGTTAACACAACAATTAAAGTCATGAGTTACCCAAAGAGAAAGTCTTTTTTATTATCGTTAGACACCAACGATATGATCAAAAGTCAATATTTGTCTCATTTTCATGATAAGTCGGTCATTATTAATTTATCAAGTACATTCTGGAATAACGGGTTATGCAAAAGTTCTTGGAAAAATGTCAGTCTCTGTTGTATTTGAACGGAAGGTGATAGAAATCTAATTCTTTTTTTGTTAGATAGAGCATCGTTTCTACTTTAAAAGAACATATTTCGCAGACTTATATCTATACACTGATAGCAGAATCCATTCTATTTTGCTGCAACCCCTAAAAAGCAGTCTGTAAACGTTTTTTACAGCATATAAGTGGCATATCTCCACAAAGACATGTGCTTGTGAGCTCAAATGACTCCTTAATTGTGTAATTGCTTAAGACTCACTTAGAGAATAAAAATCAACTCAAACGGGTTTTTCTTTACAGAGACCCAGTTTTTTAATATTATGTTGA